CCCCAAAACCCCAAAACCCCATGAGTTCTAGATTATTAATGGGCTCAATATCTAAAAATATAAATAAAATTTATTAAAAATGTTCGATTCTCAAATAAATAAAACTCTTAACAATTAAACGAATCTACCCTCGTTTAAAAACAGTCTCCTAAGTACTTTGAGGCGGCCTAATCCTAACAGAACTAAATGTAAGATACTCTTAATAACAATTTCTAGCAAGTTCACTTTAAGTGAGAATGTCTGAGCCAGAGTTGTTCTTTAATAAGATTTATAAACACAAGAAATTTGACTAAAGAGTTATAGATATTTGCTAGCAAATGAGAATTGATATAAACTCTTTACTTCCAAAGTAATTAGAAACACCTAACCTAATTATAGAACTTTGGATGATTTCAGAGACTCAGGCGTTGCAGAAAGAACCATCTAAACACGTTACCAGCATTATATATAAAAAAGAAATCATGCTTTAGGTCTTATCTAAATAAGGTTGGCTGATTCTGAATCTATCAAAAGAGCTATGAAAAACAGGGAGAGCTAGAATAATAGTTTAATCTAGAGTAAGATGATGATGAGAAAATCCCAATAAACTGCCTCCATGAGTACAGCATAGCATACAAATAACAACATGCAAACTATGACTTCAAATGGCTTCTCTTAGGAATCTAAGAGAAAAAATAAGTTGCTGAGTCTTAGTTTTGCAATCCATGATTCTAACTTCGTTACTCAGTATTAGCCTATTGCAATGAATGAAAGCTTCTAAAAATCTAATGATCTCTAACAATCTTAGAGGAGATATGCCGCTAATACTAATATACATGGATAAAGATTGGCAGTAGACAGTTTTGGTTCTTTTGGAAGGAATCTTATATAGCCCAAATTATCCTCTATCAGTATGGCTAGAAATTTGTAGCCTATCTAGTAGCATCACTAAGATGATAGAGATGTAAGAGTCAGAAAAATAGCTGCAAGAAATACCAATTTAGATTTTAGCAAAATTATGTAAATGAAACTTGAAAAAGAAGAATAGCAAAGAATTTTATGGCAGTAAAAAAATGAAAATTTATAATCAAAGTTTTAGCAAGAGCTAATAAAATTCAAAGATAAGATATAATAAAGAAAACTAAGACTTAAAAAATATGAGGATAAAATCAAAGATGTAAAAGCAATTAATGAATATAAATTCTAAAAAGTTGAGTCGAAGAGATAGCTATATAAATAGAATTATCTCAACATGTCTCTAGATAGGGAAAGAGAAAACTAAGGAAAGCATCTTAAGTTTTTTGAAGAATCAAAGAGTATTCTGCAGAAAAATGAGAAAAGGTTGAATGAAAGCCGTAAGCAGCTATCTATTTAAAGACTATCCAGAGCATAATCTAAAAATAGAATGAGATCCAACTACGATACTATTAGTAATAGAAGTAAATTGAGTAGTAGAGGTAAGATTTATACTAAATAACTAAATTAGGGAACTTTTAAAGATCAGATTCAGTTGATAACATTGCAATGAGTCTTAATAGAATTGAATCCAGAATTCTGAATAGTAAGAAAAGTTTAGTTTAAATTGTGAATTTAGGAAATTAAAGAAGAGATGAAGTGATTAATCGTAAAATTTAGAGTGCAAAGAACTATTCCTAAAAACAGATGGATGGTTATCAAAGATTCTCAGAGTATATAAATGATCTAAACCAGAGTAATTTCGAGAGAGTTGTTTTAAAAACAAATAAGCTACTGTAAAAGTAGAAAAACAAGTCGAAGACACTTGAAGAAAAGGGATCGAGATTGAAGCATCACAATACCTCGAGATTAGATCAATTCAAGGCAGCTCACAAAGATCTGAAGCACAAGCTAGATCAAAAGCATTAAGAGCTACTTTAAACCCATGAAAAACAAAGTGACAATGTCTAACTTACCAAAAGCATTTTAAGCGAATTTAGAATGCAAAAGAAAGATATGGTTAACTTGAAGCAATAAGATTTCTTAAGAAACAGTCAGATAGAAAGGAGAAGATTAAATGAATTCCAAGAAAAAGTTCTACTTAAATAAAAAGACAAATCAAGTCATGTATCCTCAATGAGAGAAAAATCAGGTGATCTTTACAATGTTAGGGTACAAAATAACAGTTTAAAAAGGAACTAGTATTCATTGAAAAACTAGTTTATACAATTTCATAACACTCTAGGTAATTTACAGTTTGGATTTACTGATATAATTTCTAAGAGTAGCAGGGTAAAAAAGAATAAAGATTTAGTCCTTGATTCAACCCAACCTGAAAAATGATATTATTATATTACAAAACAATATTTTCATATTTATCTTTTATAATAATTATTACGGGGTTTTGGGGTTTTGGGGTTTTGGGG